AATGCCGAGCCAAGCCTTTGGGCCAACATGGATGTAATCACGTGGAAGATGCCAGCGTTACGTGCGTAGGTGAGCTTCGTCTCCTGCTTTCGCTGCACAAAGATAAAACCCCAATTTTCTGCAAGATGCAGCCTTGAAGTAATAATTTTGGTGCCCAGAACTGAATAAATCCCTGAGTAGCAAGAAGTCAGAGGCTGGGAGATTATATCCTCAAACCATTTCCTTACTCTTTCCTTGGCATCCACAGCTGGCTACGAGCAAAGGCCAAAAACAGTGCAGACAAGGCGCAAGCTTTCTTACTGTATTTTGGCCTTTTCTCCAAGCAGTGTGTCCTTCAAATAGATACATGTGTTTTCTCCTGTTCCTACCCCTGAACTAGTGGGCAACCAATATGTCATATTCCCTCAGGCTGCAGCTGGTTAAAGGGATCTTTCATTGCCCCTTCTACCCTGAAAGCAGATGTGCAGTCCCTGCAATGCTGCAGAACTTCTCTGAAAGCTCTGGGTGTCAACACCATCCAAACCCATTGCAGACATGTGCTGCATTCTCCAGCCTAGCAGGCACAAAGATGTACAAGAATATTCCTAACAATGCGTATTTCTGTGTGTTTTTCAGGAGCAGGAATTTCCAAAACTTCTAAGCTTCGGCTGGTGGGCGGTAGGGATAACTGTACCGGGAGAGTCGAGGTGTTTTATAACCATGAGTGGGGAACGGTCTGTGATGATAACTGGGATATGAATGATGCCATGGTGGTGTGTCGGCAGCTGGGCTGTGGGATGGCAGTTTCAGCCCCAGGTTCGGCTCATTTTGGATGGGGATCCTACCGTATCTGGCTGGATGATGTGAACTGCAATGGAACAGAAACTGACCTCTCTGAATGCAAAACAAAATCTTGGGGCGTCCACAATTGCCACCATGGAGAAGACGCCGGTGTGGTGTGCCTAGGTGAGACCTGCTAGGGGACAGTAAGAGGAAGCCTCACAAGCAGAGCTCCATGTGGTGTTTAGGACAGGGTTATAGGTCTCTCTAGAAGAGATGCTGTGCATGCAGCTAGCCTAGGAGTGCTCTCCTTGCAGCTGTCTACAATTTGTGTCTCATGCCCCTGGTCTTCATTACAGTGTGCAGCACCCCAAACCAGATTTCCTATCAGGCAAATGAGTGGTCTGTTCCCTCAACAGAAGGGACATAACAATGTTTTTGTCATTCATGCTGTGCCTGACCTACTCTGTACTCCCATCCAGGGGAGTATTCACATGTCATGGTTAAATGAAATGGGATGGCAGTGAGTCCTTAGAGTCCCTTCTGCCACTTCTGAGGAATTTATTTACAGTGACCATTATGATCTCTCCAAAAGCAGAAAAAACGAGCTCAACTGATCTGCGACTAGTGAGTGGCCCAAATCGCTGTGCCGGGAGAGTGGAAGTCCTTCACAAGGAGCAGTGGGGAACGGTGTGTGATGACACATGGGACTTGCATGATGCCACGGTGGTGTGCCAGCAGCTGGGCTGCGGGAGGGCCCAGTCAGCCCCCACCGGGGCTCACTTTGGCCAAGGCTCAGGGCCCATCTGGTTGGATGACGTGAGCTGCGTCGGGACAGAAGATGCCCTTTCCCAGTGCAGGTCCCGCCCATGGGGTCAAAATAACTGCAACCATGGAGAAGATGCCAGTGTGGTGTGCTCAGGTAACCCACAGTCATGCACAATCTCATCCTTAGACCATCTTCAGGCATGTGAAGGAAAAGGAGGTGATGAGGAGTAGTCAGCATGGATTCAACAAGGAGAAGTTGCGTTTGACTAACCTCATAGCTTTGTAGGATGGGATGACTGTCTTGATGGATGAGAGGAGAGCCGTGGATGTTGTCTCCCTTGATGTCAGCAAAGATTTTGACGTCGGCCCCCCTATCATCCTCATAGGGAAGCTCAAAAAGAGCGGATTAGATGAGTGTGTAGTGAGGTGGTTGAGAGCTATCTGGATGGCAGAGCTCAGAAGATTGTCTGAGTCTAGTTGAAGTCTCCCAAGAGTCTGACATGTGTCCAGTGCCATTCAACTTGTTCATCAATGACTTGGACAAGGGCACAGAGTGCACCCTGAGCAGGTTTGCGGATGATCACAAACTGGGTGGAATGGTCGACACTCCCGAGGGATGTGCTGCCATTCGGAGAGACCTAGACAGAATGGGCAGTTGGGCAGAGAGGAACCTCATGAGGTTCAACAAGGACAAGTGTAGGTTCCTGCTCCTGGGGAGATATAATCCCAGGAACCGGTACAGATTAGGGGTTGACCTGCTGGAAAGCAGCTTCGTGGAGAGGGATTTGGGAGTCCTGCTTGACATCAAGTTAACCATGAGGCAGCAATGTGCCCTCATGGCAAGAAGGCCAACGGGATCCAGTGGGATCCAATGGGATCCTGGCTGCATCAAGAGGAGTGTTGCCAGCAGGTAAAGGGAGGGGATCCTGCCGCTCTGTTCAGCTCTGAACAGGCCGCACCTGGAGTATTGGGTGCTATTTTGGTCACCCCAGGACAACAGAGACGTGAACTTCTAGAGAGGGTCCAGTGTAGAGTGACAAGGATGATGAAGGGAGAGGAGAATCTATCGTATGAGCAAAGAGTAAGAGAGCTGGGCCTGTTTAGCCTGGAGAAGAGACGGAGAGGGGATCTGGTCAATATGTACAAATACCTGAGGGAAAAATGAAAGGGAAGAGACAACTAGGTGTGCTGGGATCAGGGAGACTCAGGGGAGCAAGAGTTTCTCTGCGGGCTTCTTGCAAATTCCTGCGCTTTCAGGGTCGGACACTGTGTCACCCTCC